ATCCTTTGTCCACGAGCCAGGCCACACTCTACAGTACACTAAGGGCTGTTAACTATGAAATAGATGCTGTAGCATCTACTGTTGAACGAGAAAAGAAGGTAGTTAGTGAAGATGACTCAGCTTGTGCTAATGATGACACGACGGACCAAGAGGAGAAAGAAGATTTTGAAACTGACCCCCGGATTTCTCGAAATGATTCAACTCTTCAGCAAGCCCTAGCGGCTGATAGACTAAGAAGTCTTAAAAGAAAGAAGGCCCAAATCGAAAAAGAACTAACAGATCTACATCAGATTAATGTTGACAGGGGTGGTAAGCATGATAAACTGCTACAAGACCTTGTGAAGGAGTGCAGACAGGAAAGAAAACCAAAAACTCCCAAAGAAACTAAAAAACGCAAAGAGAAGTGCCAGAGAACAGTTTCATTTGCTGATGATACTGATTTTGATGCTGCGTTGGATGCAGCGTCCAGGGGATTTGTTGAAACAGTAAGCATATTTATCTTTCATCTCGGTATAACTCATATCAGATGTCTTATGATGTTCACTTTAGGATAAAGAAGCTGAAATTTTGATACCATGCTTTTGTGTCAGGAAAGGGATGAATTGGTCAGAAAGGGAATTTTAACTCCTTTTCATAAGCTTAAAGGGTTTGAACGGCGGCTGCAACAGCCAGGGCCGTCCAATATATCCGAGAATGAAGAAATAGGTGCTGATGATCTTACCTCTGGCAGTATTCTAAGGGCTGCTCAGTCAATATCAGAATCTGTGAAAGCTCGCCCAAGAACGAAGCTTCTTGATCATGGAGAAGTGCCGAAACTTGATGCGCCTACCCTTCCCTTTCAGAGACTGAAGAAACCTTTCAGAATTCCTGCCTCCCTGGAAAGTGATGCTGATAAAAGTAAAGCTTCACAAAAGAGGAAGCGTCCTATGCCTGGCCAGAAATGGAGAAAGCGTATTTCACGTGAAGAATTCCCTTTGGATAATGCTGGTGTGTTCCATTGGCTACTTGCTTAAAATTTTGAATTTCGACAACCTTATGACCAGTGACTGCTAAATATTTTGTATGCTGTAGGTAATTTGCTTCTTCCTAGTGTCCATGCTTTACTTCTCAGCATAACATATTTGTGGCAATGCTTTCAAATGTGTTGCCACTGGGATTATGTATTTTAGACGTTAAATGGATTTCCATTCCTGGCAGTGCTTTTTTCAATTGATTGAAATATTGCAGAATTTTTATTGATAATTTACGTCTTACTTTTACTTTTGTCATTTAACATTGTCGGTTTCTTGTTCAAAGAAGATGCACAGGTCGACCTGGCTACATCCAGCAATGAAGAAGAGCTGCTACATGATTCTGAAGATGTTGATGGCACTGACTGTCCTTTTATAACACTTGAAGGCGGACTAAAAGTTCCAATTACCATTTTTAGCAAGCTTTTCGATTACCAGAAAGTAGGAGTGCAATGGCTGTGGGAACTGCATTGCCAGAGAGCGGGTGGCATTATTGGAGATGAAATGGGTCTTGGCAAAACAATTCAAGTTTTGTCTTTCCTTGGAGCATTACATTTTAGTAATATGTACAAGCCAAGCATTGTCATTTGTCCTGTTACACTACTGCGCCAGTGGAGAAGAGAGGCACGCAAGTGGTACCCCAGTTTTCATGTCGAGCTACTGCATGATTCTGCGCAGGATCTTCCTTCTAGAAAAAAGAGAGCAAAATCTGATGAAAGTGATGACGATAGTGATGCTTCTTTTGGAAGTGACAATGATGTGAGTTTAGCATCTAAAAAGGGCAGCAAATGGGAGTCATTAATAGACCGAGTTTTGAAGTCAAAATCTGGGTTGCTCATTACTACATATGAGCAACTTCGGCTGCTTGGGGAGAAATTGCTTGACATTGAATGGGGATATGCTGTTCTGGATGAAGGACACCGGATTCGAAATCCGAATGCAGAGGTCACTCTAGTCTGCAAGCAGCTTCAGACAGTTCACCGCATAATAATGACAGGAGCACCAATTCAGAATAGGTTAAGTGAACTGTGGTCTTTGTTTGATTTTGTTTTCCCTGGTAAGTTGGGAGTCCTTCCTGTCTTCGAAGCAGAATTCGCTGTTCCAATCTCCGTTGGTGGTTATGCAAATGCTTCACCACTACAAGTATCTACGGCATACAGGTGCACATTGAATTGTCTGTTAAAATATGTTATTCAAATTGAAGCTTTTTTGTTCCAACTCAGTGACATAACCTTTCCCAGTTTAGTGATATGGGGATATTAGTTGAAACCTAAATTTTTTGTGATCAGGTGCGCTGTGGTGCTACGTGACTTGATCATGCCTTACCTGCTACGTCGTATGAAGGCAGATGTCAATGCCCATCTCCCTAATAAGACGGAACATGTACTCTTCTGTAGCCTTACACCGGAGCAGCGATCTGTGTATAGAGCATTTCTTGCTAGCACTGAAGTTGAACTAATTCTCAATGGCAGTAGGAATTCCTTGGCTGGGATTGATGTGATGCGAAAGATATGTAACCACCCTGATCTACTTGAGAGAGAGCATTGTTATCAGAATCCAGATTATGGAAATCCTGAGCGTAGTGGGAAAATGAAAGTTGTTTCCCAGGTGCTCAACGTCTGGAAGGAGCAGGGTCATCATGTTCTTCTTTTCACTCAGACTCAGCAAATGCTCGATATCCTTGAAAATTTCTTGGTCTCTCATGGTTACAACTACCGGAGAATGGATGGTCTTACTCCTGTGAAGCAGAGAATGGCCCTAATAGACGAATTCAATGACTCTGATGATATCTTCATTTTTATTTTAACTACAAGGGTTGGTGGGTTAGGGACGAATCTAACTGGTGCAGACAGGGTGATCATTTTTGATCCAGACTGGAACCCATCAAATGATATGCAGGTATTTTTCCTTTTCATGCGAGCTATTAAGTTTTCACCATCTGAATAGGCGAGATGATCTGCTGATAACCTGTATCACACCCTATCGAATGGTTGATTTTATTTCTTCTTGAAACAGGCTAGGGAACGAGCATGGCGTGTTGGTCAGAAAAGGGATGTTACTGTATATAGGTTGATTACTCGTGGGACTATCGAGGAGAAGGTGTACCACCGACAGATTTACAAGCATTTTCTCACTAACAAGATACTGAAGAACCCTCAGCAAAGGAGATTCTTTAAAGCTCGGGACATGAAAGATCTGTTCATTTTGAGTGATGATGGTGACAGTGCATCAACTGAGACATCTAACATTTTCAGCCAGTTGTCTGGAGATGTCAATGTTGTTGCTGCTCAAATGGAAAAGCTGGACAATCATAATCAACACACCACAAATAGTGGAAGGCATGCTGTAGATGAAAGAGATAATTCGGAGGCCCTACCCTCCAGGAGGAAGGGGAAAACTGAGGAGGCTTCTGATCTTAAGGACCGTGAAGTTGATAAGGAAACAAATATCTTGAAGAGTCTTTTCGATGCTAATGGCATACATGTAAGCACAAAATTTATGTCCCTCGTTCTCTCTGTTGCTTGTTTATCAGCAAATTCGGGTTTTTCTTATAGCTATTTGATTGATTAATTGGTAAGTTGATCAACTGGAGGCGCGAACCTGGCAGGGAGTTAAAGAAAGCACTGTAGCTTGCTTTCTGTTGTTGTTAGTTTGTTACAAGGTACACCTTTTAAACCACCGTTAACTTTGTCCTCTTTCTCTTGCTCACCAGAGCGCATTGGACCACGATGCTATTGTGAATGCGCCTGATGAAGAGAAGGTGAGGTTAGAGGATCAAGCATCTCAAGTTGCACAAAGAGCAGCAGAGGCATTGCGTCAGTCGCGGATGCTCCGAAGTCGTGAAAGTATATCGGTGCCAACATGGACAGGCAAATCAGGATGTGCTGGAGCACCACAATCCACGACCCGTCAGAAATTCGGATCTACCCTCAGCTCTCAATTGATCATCAAGAAGTCATCATCCAATGAATCCAGCAGCACCAATGGGACAACTAGCAGCAGCCTGAATGGCATAGCAGCTGGGGCATCTGCTACTGGGAAGGCGTTATCTTCAGCCGAGCTGCTAGCTAGAATCCGTGGGACCCAAGAAAGAGCCGCTGGGCTTCATGCATCAGCATCATCCAGTTCAACTAGGAGCACAAGGTCCGGGGGCAGTGGAACATCCAGCGTTCAGCCGGAAGTATTGATTCGTCAGGTTTGTACGTTCATACAACAGAGGGGTGGGAGAACAGATTCTGCAACCATAGTGCAGCACTTCAAGGACAGGATACCATCCAAGAATCTGCCATTGTTTAAGAATCTCTTGAAAGAGATAGCAAGTCTGAAGGACGACCCAAATGGGAAAGTATGGGTTCTGAAACCGGAATATGAATGACAAAGGACCTTAACTGCCAATGCTGCTCTCACTGCGGAAGATCCTAAGGTATGCTAACGGTACTTGCCTGGTTAGGGTCCGCTCCTTGTATATGCTGGAAAGTGTTGTTCGGCGGTTGCGTCGTCAACTCTGGAAATTTTTGAACATTGATGACTGAGACGGAAATACTTCTAGTGTAACGAGTAATCATGATTCCAAATCCATGGTAGCGATGCTGCTGTGCATCAATTGGAAACGTAGTAGATTTTGTTCACGAGGGATGAGTTTGGAGGGTTAGAACTCCGTTTTTCTCTCTTGTTGGTTGGCAACCTCTGTAAAGAAATCGTGATGCAAAGTCACGAGTTCCTCTTGTTGGGGCCGCCAGTTAAGGCATTTGTTATGTTATGTACAGAAAATTCATTCACACTGCTACATTGATGCCATTGATTTTAACGGTGAACCGTATGAGTTGCAACTTGGACTGGCCTCTTTAATATTGTGCTTTCCTGTCTAAACTGATATTGTACAGCCACTATTTTAAAAAATAACGAGTATTGAAGCATCAAAGATGTGTTCAGCAAGCGAGAAAGAATGACTTAGCAAAGTAAGGTAATCAGCCACAGCGTTGACATCTCGACTCGTGCTCGACGCAGGTAGACCAATGTAGAGCACATAAGCGTCGTATCTCTATAACGGAGACTACTTCACTTTGGCAATTCAAAATTTTGAGTGTAAAGATACAAGATACTAAAACAGTTGCTACTTATCGTTAACCAGAAAGTCCAAAGCTTGAGCTTATGGATTTGATACCCTTTTCCATCGAACACTTATTCCACACGACCATCGCCCTGGGAATGGGATGAACATTAACTAGCTAGTTACACTTCACCGCCCTTTTCTCTTGTTTCCTTCCTTGACAGGCAAGGCAGGTTCACAACTCTCAAATCATCACCTCTCTTTTCCCTTTGTTTGCCCTTTCTTCTCACTAAAATGGAACCCAAAAAGGAGGGGAAATCATACCATCAAAAACTCACTCTCACAGTAATAAACAGGTAACCAACCCAAGTCACAGACACCATCGCCACCATTTACTTCAGCAGCAGAGAATTCATGTGTCTAAACCTTAGAAGGCCGCCCATCCTGATGCAGTTTTCGTCTTTTCTCCTCCTGTTGATGCCTTCGTCGCTGGTGGGAGATTCCTCTGCCACAAAAGCAACCCAACACTCAGATTCAACAACATTCGAACCATGGCTTTGTTTCATTGGATGGTTCTTTCTGTAAGCTTAGCCTAACCCTTCACCATGGTTCTAACAACGCCGCCGGCAATTAGGCTAACAAGAACACAGAACGGAGTGTGTATGGCATTTCGAATTCGATCACCAGAAACTTGAATTGAGCTTTCATTCAAGCAATGTTTGGTAGTCTACTAAAATGGGAGAGAAGCACATGCATACCTCAAGCTGTGAAAAATCTGACAACGAATCTGTAGAGCTCCTGTTGCTAGTATTGCTACTGTCCTTGGCTGCCCTCCCACCAGCTGTACTTGTACGAACAACCGCCGGGTCATTCGGTGGAGGCGGCAACGGCGACCTAATCTTGCCGGCCGCAACCGGCGGTGGGGCAAGGCTCAACGTTTTAGCCTTCCCGGTCGCCGTAGTCCCGCCGGCTAATCCCGCAGCCGACAGCATACCGGTTCCACTAGTCGGCTTCGGCTTTACGTTTATCCGAATGGTCTCCCCTTCCTACAATTACAATAAATAAGCGGAAAAGGTTAAAAAAAAATGCGGAAAAAAAAATTCGATCGAAATCTGATTCTCATTTCCCCTAATTCCCATTTCCCTGACCCTGAGCCGGTGATTTACGGCGGGATGGATGTCAATCCCGTCGGCGGCACCGTCGGCGCTGGTCTCCCCGGCTTCCTTCTCGTGCTCCCTCCGGACGTACTTCTCGTGATCGGAGAGGGCCACGTTGAAATCGAAGGCCTCGTTCCGCTCGGCGAAGCCCAGCCCGATGAAGGCGTGCTTCCCCGCGCCGTCCTCGATCTTGAGCACGAAGTAGCGCGACGAGTCCAGCACCGGCTCCACCGACGTCTCCCGCTGCCCCGGCGGGACGAAGCAGGCGGCGAACAGATCCCCCGAGTTCGGATCCTCCAGCCGGATCTCGCACCGGTCCTTGCACGAAACGACCCGGAGCCGGCCCGACCAGATCTTGTCCGACTGCAGCCACTCGCCGCACTTGTAACCCCCGGAGGTGGAGCGCGGAGGGATTTTGTACACCGCCACCTCCCGGACCACCAGCAGGGTGTGCTCGAACGAGTCTTCGTCCTCCTCGAACGACATTTTCTCTCGGTCAAGCTTTTCTTATCTTCTCTCTACCGCGCGCACGCAAACACAGAAATGGAGCAGGGAGAAAAGGCCGGATTTGAAGGATTCGTCTCTTTGTGCTCTATCCTCGCCGAGCGAGAGATGGCGAATCGCTGAGACGTGGGTTTGAAGAGTGGGGCTGATTGGTCAACTGTCGTGACAAAGAGAACAAAAGGGAGAAGAAGATTTGATAAAATGGATAAAAAGTTAAAAACTAATATTTAATTACGGGTTATAGGTATAAAATGCCCCTCTACTATGTCGTTTTATCAAACATGCCCCTCTACTATTTTTTACATCAAACATGCCCCTATATTTTGGAAAAATTATCAAACATGCCCTTGTGTTAAAATTTCCATTGAAAAAATCTTCAATCATGGTTGAACCAAGATCTACAGAACCCGACATCGGCAAATGGGAGGTGAAATATCACCTTTTGTCCCCTGTTTTATTTTTCTGGGTCTCGTTGAAGTGAAATTATTAGAATTATTTGGCTATAAAAAGAATCAAAAAAATTCTGAAGTGTAATTATTAAGGATATTTTTTACATTTGTGTCTCCTAAACCAAAGTTCGACCGTGGTTAATGGGTTTTCGGATGAAAATTTTAACAAAAGGGTATGTTTGATAATTTTTCCAAAGTACAGGGGCATGTTTGATGTAAAAAATAATAGAAGGGCATGTTTGATAAAACGACATAGTAGAGGGGCATATTATACCTATAACCCTTTAATTACCGGTTTTCCTCCGGCAAGATTTTACGCTACGCGTTTCCGTCTTTTTTTTTTCCTTAAAGGCTTTTGGGCCAGAGTTTATGTCTGGGCCGTTATCGGCCCAATTTTCCTCCTGTTTAAATGCTAAAACCCTAACTCTTCCATAACTTCTTGATTTAGCTTCTTCGTGAACTTGCTGGGATTTTGCCGGGAGTCGCCTTCCTTCTGCGTCTAAGTTTCCTGGTATAGCCCCTTCCTCCTGTTTTCCTACGCTTTTCTTTACGATTGTCGGAAGTGTGATTTTAGGGTTTAAGCAAGTACGTCGACGGTGTCGACTACGGTTAGCTTAAGGTCCGGTTCATCACTCGTATGCGTTTATGTGATTCTGGAGCTGCTATTCTGTGTTAGGGTTGAGAGCGAGGATTCACGATGTTGCTTCAGTGCTACATAAACGAGAATGGTGATAAAGTCTACACCACCAAGGTGCGTTTGCTTTCTTTCTTTCTCCTGTCTTTGGAACAAGAGCTGTTGCTTTCAATTTGGTTTTCTGGATGTTAAAGTCCGCTCATTTCTATGGGATTGAATTTGTTTTGGCAGAAAGAATCGCCGCATGGATTGCCGACGCAGTCTGCTCATCCTGGTAAATGCTTCTTTGCCTTCTGTTATGAATTAGATTGGAGTTGGGTCTAATTTAATGTCTGTACCTGTGCCACTATTTACTACTATCCCTTGGCAAATTGTGAAGAGGGGGGATAAGGAGGGGAGAAAGGAAAACTATAAATCTCTCTGCTCTTCTTTCTTTGCTTCAGGGGGCTCATCATCCGCTCTTAGGTTTGTTAAATGAAATTTTGTTGCTGATGAATATGCTCTCCGGGTCTTTTACGATACAAATAGCATTATGGCCTTGTTGTTTGTTTGACATCGATAGCCTTTAGGTTGTCATTTTGTGGCTTCTGCTTCTTTCAAACAAGATAATTGCAATTATATCCAAATGTTTGCCTAGGTATCACGATTATATGGTAATTGCAACCTGCTGCTTCCCTGAATATAGTTTTAGATTCAGTTTCAAATGTTTGAAAGTTTGTCTATTACTTGCAGCTCGCTTTTCTCCTGATGACAAATACGCTAGGCAAAGGTATCTGCTGAAGAAGCGGTTCGGGTTGCTGCCCACACAGCAACCTCCTCAGAAGTACTGAGTTCTAAATCTGCAGGTGGTTTCCTTATTTGTCTAAACATGATGTGGTGAAGGTTTATCTGATCCACACTGGTTTTCCTCTTGCTATCTGGATTCGACAGTTGGCAATTTGTATCGTCGTTCAGATGTACCTGTAGTTTTGGTACTGTAATAGCTTTTCAGAATGTGGTACATGGTGTTAAATGGTTTGGATTCCCCTATCAAGATGGATAGTTGGAGCTCTGACTCTGTTCATGCTTAAAGCCAATGATATTATCTATTGATTTGAACTTCAAATTCAGCAGGTTTGCAGCTTTGCGTGTTACATTCTTCGTGTCTTGATCTGGCCTTCGCAGTTGCTGTTATAACTAACCAGGTAGTGTATCTTAGAAATAAGTCAATTAACTTATATGCTTGGATTTTATGGAAATCCACCCCAAAAGTGTGAACGTGTTGAGCCAACTAACAAATGTTTATTGCTATGAAAACGAAGTTTAGATACAAGATCTTGTCCTGCAATCTAGGTCATGGGTTCCTTAAATATAGCCAACACAACTAACAGTATTGCAACTTGCTTCTGAAGCAACTAACCTAACTTGACTCAAAGACTTGACTGACTCGAAACCAAATCGAAACTTTGTCAGTACGACATAGCTAACTGAGAATGATTGCTTTATTCAAATCCTTCTTCTGAATAACCTATGTTCAAGCTTAGCTAGAATATCCTCCCTTGAACGGAAGCCTATAAGCAAACTCCAGTTCACATCACCTTCAAACTTCAAAGAGTTAGTATTGATGACAATGGCGCAGGACGAGTACCTCAATGCAATACTCGTCTAGTACTATGCACGGGCCAGGATGGGTAATACCCATGCGGGTACGGGGCATGACGGGTGGACACATCCTTTTATTTTATTTGAAAAAAAAAATGTTGATAGTTAACTATTTTATGAGAACACATAGAGAAACTACTTAATAAATGAATGATAAAGATAGTAGAATGAATAATTGAGTCTAAATAGTGAAAGAGTTTTAAAATTTATTTGGGATGAAATATGATTTTAGAAAGGTCAAAAGAGGAGAAATACATGTAGATATTAATACAAATTATGATAGAACGGGTCGAGAATGGAACGGGCGAGCTAAGACAAGTCGGAAGTAATACTCATGCCTCACCTCATGACACTGCGGTTGGATAATACTCGCCTTAAACAAGTTGGGTCGCATGGGTCAGATTAGAAATTGGCATCAATAAGCGTTATGCTCTGCAACCTCAACCACTAAGTTTTCTTCTCAATGGCCAGAAAGTTTCAAGCTTTAATGCTTTTTATTACATGTTCAACTTGCTCTTGAGTTCCACAGTGCACAAACTCAACTACTTCCTCCTTTGCAAGTTCTCAAAGGAAGTGGAATCTCACAAGTCACGTATATATGCTTACTTATGATGTGGAGAACTTGATTCTTTGATAATTTAATTGTTGACTTGTTGTCACGAGATGTTTTTTTTTAGCTCTTTTCACACTTTGACTCCACCCCATATGCTCCATAATTCACCTCAACCACACGCCTTGAGCTGCACAATAAGAACCTGCAACAAATTTTGCTTCTGTAGTGGAGAGGGTCACTACTGGTTGTTTCTTGTATGCCCATGAAACATCATATCATTCCAAGAAGAAGGTGTACTCAATTGTACTCTTCTTATCATCTTTGTCTTCTGCATAGTCACTATCAGTGTATCGAAAAGTTGTATTTCTCACTTCCTTTCTTCACTCACGTGACAGGCCTCATAAAGTCATAGTTCCTTTAGGTATCTTAGAATTATTTTTGTAGCTAGCAAGTGCTGCCTTGTTGGACATTCCATGAACTTGTTTAACAAGCAGCTGAGTACAGGTTGTCAGGTCTGGTTGCTTTCACATACATCAAGCTTTTAATGGGTTTTTTGTACTCAATTGATTTTACTGCAACACCATCTCCAACATTAGTTATCATACCCTAGGAGCAATAAGATTCCTGACAAAACTGCAATTTGAGAGTCCAAAATTTTCCAAGATTCTCTTTATATACATTCACTTACATAAATAAATACCTTGATCATTCTTAATGATCTCCACTTCTATGAACTATCTCATTTTTTCAAGGTTGCTCATCCCAAACTCAATTTTCATGGATATCTTGAATTATTTAATCTGACTCGAGTTGTTACATGTATACATCAAGTCATACACTGATACACATAAAGACCGATCACTAGGATAGACTGCCAAGACTTTTTATATACAATGTGTGTTCATAAGTACTTCTCTTAATCTCAGCCTTCAGGATGTATACCTCAATCTTGTTGTACCATGACCTAGACGCTTGCTTTCAACTATAGAGGGCCGTGAAGTTTATAGACTCTCAATTGCTTCAAACCGGAAAGCTCTCAATGTAATAATGCACTTTTGACATATAGCCAATATACATTAAGTCCATGGTGGACAACTAATGTCAGTAGTGTTCTTATTGTATTCCATCTAACCACTGGTGTAAAGACTTTAGTGTAGTCAATGCTAGCTTTCTTAGAATATCCTTTTGCTACAAGTTTGGCCTTGTTCTTATCCATCGAGCCATATTCTTTCAAATTAGTTGTGAACACCCACTTCAGATTGGTTGCACTTGCACTTCTTCTAGTGGAATAGTGATGGTCCATATTAAGTCTTTATGGCTTGCATTTCTACCTACATTGTTGCTTTCCATTTTTTATATTTTGTTGCATCTTCAAAGGTTTGAGGATGAATGGTGACAGCTACAACAACCCTTCAAATGTGCAGATTTTGATCTAATCCTGATACCCAAATCTACTACAAGAGTTTTAGGTGTATCATGCCCTTCTTTATCTTCATCCAACTCTTTATTAACATTAGTTGTTGTGATCGGTTCAGGTTGGGGACTGGTGACTAAAAGTTGATTGATTAGGTGTTGTCACTTATAGCCCAATGTCTCATCCTTATATTTATACCACTATGTTCACGTCCTTTCCAATATAACTTTGACAAAATAATTTAAACTTTAAAATTTCATTCCCACCCCTTGGTTTTATCAAGGACAACATCTCTGTTAACCACAATCTTTTTGGTATTGGAGTTATAGAGCTTTTAAGCCTTAGATTCAACCGAGAGTACCAAAAAATGGCAGGGAGTGCTTTTTTCATCCACCTTCTTTCTATGTTGATCAGAATCATAAGTTTAACAACCAAACACCTTAAAATGTGAAACTGATGGAAGATGCCCAGCCCATAATTCCTGCTGTGTTCATCTTTAATTTGCCACATTAGAGCTTCTGTTCAAAACATGGGATGTCTAGACAACAACTTCAAGCCATAAAGTAGTTGGTACTTTTTGTCATTTAGCATACATCTGACATATTTATTATGGTTGTGTTCTTCCTTTTTGTCGGTACATTTTATTGTGAAGTGAGTGCTATAATAAGTTGTCTTCTTATGCTTGCTTCTTCAAGCATTTTCTTAGACAAGTTCAACATTATTTTTCCCCCGTCACATGTTCTAAGACGTATTGCAAATAATCATGTTTCTTTTTCTACTTGAACTTGAACTTTTAAAAGCAAGTTAACTTTTCAGACTTAACAACTAGGAAATTTACCCATAACTGTCTACTAAGTCATCAACCATTGTTAAAATTGAGATTGATGTAATTGGACAACAAGGATCATCATGCAACAACTGGAGCTTTTGAGTTGCTCCTCATGCTCACCAGCCACAAGTGAGTAAGCATATATGAGTCTGAACCTACCGTCTCTCTCAATCCCCCATACTATTTCATCCTCGCCAAGCCCTGATCTTGAAGCATGTATTCCTGCAATAACATTAATCAAGCCATCAGTAAGGTAGGTTCTCATTCTAGACATTTGATTCATCAACCCAACTGATGACGGAAGCTTTTCTTTCCTCCTCAGTGAGGTCCTTAATTGCATGTTCTTCCAAGGTTATCCCACAAGAGATCCATGGGTGAGTCTTGAATCCAATGGTTTCCCATCTCTCAAACTTCACAGGTTGGCCTTCTTCATGTAAGACATATCTTTCACAACCCAAGAGATTGAAGTGATTGTCTTTTCCCCCCTTCTTTCCATTAAGCTAATCTCGCCCTCCTTATGATGGACATACTTGTTTAGTAGATACCATGCCAGATTGCCAGTTTAACCATATAAGCCAAGTTAAGGCTTCTAGCATACCTTAAACGTAGCCTTCCCTTATTCTTAGGTTTGCAGATAGCATCCCAAGATAGAAAATGTACTTTTCTCTTCCCCTCACAAGACCCCCTAAACAAATGGCATAATTTTCTGATCAATAGCATCACACGCAGAGCAAGGAAGCAATGAGTTTGCATGTCATATGAAGGTATAACATTTAACACTATAGTGGCAAGCGTAATCCTTTTAGCTAATATAGCTTTCCAAGTGGAAAAAGGATCATTTTTTCAAGAATATACTTATAGGGATTCTTAGACATTCCTCACATGAAGAACATGCATTATAAGGTACCTACCAAGGTCATAAGTAGATTGGATTCCAAACTAATCACAAATAATCTGTCTATCGTTAACTCTAATGTTCTTGGAAAAGAAAAGACCCAGCCTGCTTACAAGAGCCACAACAAAGAGGACTAGATCATCATTAAAGAACAAGTGTGAATCTGTCTAAACAACTGATCTTAGCCTTCTTGTGTGTCTTTCCCTCTCAACTCTTTTATTATTATTTTTTAACTTAGGGGTCGTTTGGTTTTGGTGATTGTTTGGTTGAGATAGTTACAATACATGCATTGTCCACAATGCATCGTTTTTCTGAATTTTCTGCACAAACAATACATGCATTGTTTGCTTGATGTAACACAAACTATCACTCAAAATGAGTGATAGTTAAATCTCTAAGTTTTTGGTGAGATTGTTGTGTGATTTTTTTTCTAACTTTGTCCCTACCTTTTTATGTGTCTCGCTTTTTTGTATTACAAACAAAGGGTAAAAGTGACAATTCAGCCATAAAGTAAGATAACTTATTTAAACAACACAATAACTATCACATAAACCAAATGATGCAAACTACCAATGCAGTCAAAAGCGCGATTCTACCTAAAAGCGGAAAAGGGGTAAAATCGAAAAGCGGCGAATCAAAGCGTAAAAGCGTAAGTTTTTGATGCATCATGTATAATAGTTAAAAATCTGTTAAGTACCACATGTATTATGAAAAATATGAGTGCATGGAGTTTAGACAAGTGAATAAATACATGCAATTCATGTCCAAATTAAAGCAAATTCATAACATCTTAACAATAAGTTCATAAACATAAACTGTAACCCACAAACGAGTTAATAACCAAATTCTCACAACATTAGCTTCACATTCTGCCCTTGGTTTCTCAAAGGTTCAATTAGAAACACCACATATACATAATTTAGCAGTAGCATACTTAGGTAAACCAGTAGGTTATACGCCTATTGGAAATTATAAGTAGTTTCCTTCATTTTGCTGGGTTGGTTTAAATTATTGAGAATGTGTGAATTGTAATTTAGCTAGAAATACCTGCTAGGTTATATGTTCAGGGTGGACTAAGAGTTGAGAAGGGGAAGCATTTACCCACCATTTATGAGTCATAGGTGAAGTGGCGACGGGGTATGACAAGATAGAGACAGAAACTAACATGGTGTGGCGCCAACGAGTGGCGACAGGCGACGATGAGTGCGACGGGTGCTGCCGCGTTGGAGCTATTGAGTGCGACGGGCTAGAGCTTCGATGGAAGGTGGCGACGACGGTTGCTGAGAGATGGAGGATACTTCACTGGAAGGTCGGCTGCGCGGCGGCGCAGAGTGTGATGGAGATGGAGGATTAGGGATTGCGGAAGACTGGTTTGGCAACCTCAGCCTAATATCCACCCCCTTTCACCCTTTTTTTTTGTCCGAAGTGATCAAAATGGCGCCGTTTTTATTTTGCGGAGACAATTTTCTCCTTTGCTTGGAATCGGATAAAAACGGTATGAAAGCGCGCTTTTATCCGATTTTAACGATTCTACTAACGCTTTTGACTGATTTTGAGTAAAATACGATTTTATTAGTGATTTGAAGCGTTTTCCTACCCTAGAAACATAAAATCGTACGATTTTACGCTTTAAAGCGCGATTTTGACTACACTGCAAACTACAATACACCGATTTTCTTTATATACATATATATATATATATATATATTATTATGTATGCATTAATGATAATGCATCTATTTAATTATCATCAAAATCAAACACTTACACATTTTTTGAACTTTGAAGCTCTAAAAGAGGTATGGTAATTGGTAAACAAAAAATGGAGGCCGGTAGTTCAGATTGGGACAGAAGTGGTATTTCGAATGACGTAACATGGGCAATTGTGGAAACGGGAAAAAGAGGACGGGGTTTTGCATCATTTTTGCTTCCAGTCCGGCAGTCTCTGTAAGTAACAACACTTCCGAGTCGAGACGCGGACCACCTCTCTCATCTCCAAGTTCTAGTGGAGGAGAGACACTTCTTCAGAGTCGAGACTCGCTCCTCAATAAGCTGACTTTCGCCTACTCAGACGCTTTCCGCGATCCGCAATCCGCAATCCCACGCTAACTCAAATCTCCCGTTGTCTTTTCCACCTCCTGTCGCCGGAATGGCCAGAAGTCTGCCCGGATTTCTGGCTCTGATCGTCGCGGTGGCTTTGATCTGCTGCTCATTCGCCGCAGCTGCTTCAACCTTCCAGCCAATCTCTGAATCTCACCGATCTGCCGCACTAGAGACCTTCGATCGATCCTATGGCAGGTTGTTAAACCCTATCTCGACACCTATTTCCCGTCCTGTTTGTTTCCGAATCGGAGAGCTAGAATCTCGTTCGTAGCATTCCTGTTTCGTTCTGAATTTGAATTGTCAATTTAGTACGGAAATGATGTGTGTATTGTGGCCCTGTCTTTCCAGCCTAGAAGAAACGTACGAGGCATTGCAAACATTTGACGTTCTTGGGGTCGAGAGAAAGCCCGATGTAGGAACGGCAGCTTGCCAGTCTGTTTCGCAGACCCTGGTTTCATCGTCCTCGACTTTGAAGGATATATTCTATGCTTTGAAAGTCAATGGAGTTTTGAAGTGCGAGGTGGATGCAGACAGTGTAGAGGTAACTGTTGTGTCAACGTTTTGTATTTTGCCTGTTTGTGTTTAGAACGAGTGTAATGGATCTCCTGTCTTGCCTCTTAAAGGGAATTGTTTCCACACTTCAAACTGCGGTGGGCAGTGCCAGCTCATTGCTCGAATTCTATCATTCAATTGGGGGTTTGGTACTTGTCAAGGTAAGCAGTGTTCAACAATGGTTTCCTTTTGGTATGTTGTTGTGCTATGGAGCATTTCCTTGTTTCTTGTTATCTGCCCTTGACCTGAAGCTTGTGGCTTGTATTTGACCTGATGAATCTTATCGCAGAATCAAGCTTTAAAAGATGATCTTTATCTTGCTGATGCTGAAGGGGTATTTCGTTCCATCAAGGTTTGTTCTTACTGTCACTCTCTTTATCTGTAGGTTCGTAGACACAATAGGAACTCAATCCCTTGACCAGTGACTAGGGTAATTGGGCATTGTTTGTAGACATCCCCTATTCTTCTCGTATATTTCTCTCCTTTCCCTCTCGAGTAGGAGTTGAGACACACTCTATTGCAATTTGATTGTGTCTTGGTCATTTGCAGGCTTTAAGTCAGAGTGATGGAAGGTGGCGATACAGTTCCAGTAATCCCGAGTCTAGCACTTATGCTGCAGGTATTTATTTTTTAAGTAATCTATTTTTAATTTTTTTGACTTGCTCTTTTTTCATATAATCATCAAGCTTTCCATTACATGTCCTGGGCCATTGTGTTTCTTCCCTTTGATAACTGTTTCAGTAAAACTCACAAACCAACTACTCCAGGAAGTTTATGTGCGGTGTGTTGTGTCTCTTGAGGATATCATAAATGATACATTAACAACACTCATGAAACCATACACGATAAAGAAACACATACACACTCAGAAAAGTGGATATGCATCTGAGGATTACTTAAGACTGTTAGTTGACTGGTTTTATTGCTGTGAGCCATTGTGTTGTTTGTTGTTACCTGGCTAACATATTTTGTTGTGCAATGTACTCTATATCTTGTACAGATGCTGGTTTGCTCTTTTCTTAACCTCTTATGTCTTTATCAGGTTTAGCCCTTGAAGCACTGGCTGGAGTGATCTCGTTATCATCTTCCGAGATCGATCAGTCCCTGGTATAAGAGAATCCTAACTAACCATCTCAGAGAAATATATAAATAGCTCGTCCGTTACTAGCTGAACGGTCCATTCCTATATTTGTTACTAAATTGGTGGCAAAGGAAGGGCCAGTGTCATTATCTGGCAAGCCTTTGACATTGCTCTAGAAGTTTCATATTTCTTTTTAGTCAACTGTTCTGGCATGCTAGATTGTGCATCTTCGCTGGTTCGATACTTGTATTGCGCACTGTATGCCCCCCTCCCAATTGGCGCGGCATGGCTTCAAGCTTAGCTAACACTTTGCTTGAAGCTTCACCTTTCAATGGCTTACCATTTCCAGCCACATATTTTTTACACCTTCATTGCACCTCCATTGCTTTACTCTTATGTCATTTTAATGTTTTGCATTTCACCTCCATTGCTTTTTGCAGAGAGGCATTAGGATGTCATTTTTTCTATTCTATTTTTTTGTGTGAATTTGATGAGTTATTGTTCCAATGGATGGGTGTTGGTGGTTCAGAGTTGTTACTGTGCTCTTGAATTGACTCCTTGTGTTTGTGAATCTGTGGCAGATTGGCACAACGAAAAATGATATACTGAAGCTTTTTGAGCGCGTTGAGAAGTATGGTATGTTAACTGTTTGCTTGAAGTTTGTTGTGCTGGAGTTTATCTAGTATCTATGTTATGAAAAATCGTATTTTATTTAAGGTCTTTGAATGACTTCAAATAATTTTCTGCGCAGTGGGTATTATGTTAAATGTGTCAGATGAATGATTGTTGTACAATGTAACTATAACTTATCTTGGGATTAGTGACCTGGATAAAGATAGGATATGACTTTGAATAGTTTCCGCGGCTTTTTAATTTGTGACTATCTGAATGATTATCATACAGTGCAAGAACTTCTCTTTGGATCACTGATCTGGACATTATGATAACATGTGCAAAGGCTATCACTTGCAGCAGCTGAGCTTTATTCAGAACTTGTCTTCCATTATTCCCATTGATATGCTATTTTATTCATATGTCCTTTTATTCTTTTACTGTAAATGGTAGTCTTGTTTGCAATCCTGCAAATTAATTGAATATTCATCTCATATTAACCCTATGGTTGTGTTACTGCTTTCTAGGTCTTGATTTCTGGAGTTATTAGATGCCCAATGCAACTTTCTGCTGTCATCTTTTAGTGCAGTGTAATTACTCATTTACCTCTGCTTTCAGATGATGGAGCCGTTTATTTTGATGGGGAAGAGAGTGACGCTCATGAGAATCAAGGCCCTATTACATCTACGTGGTCTGTTATTAGAGGCATAACATCGTTTGCAGCAGTGACTTCTGGAAACCTAAATGTGAGTAATATTTTGCAGGCTCGTCCATGTTTTGACTTCAAGGAGAAGAGGTTTAATTCTTGTGTTTCATTTTTCAGCTTCCAGGGGAAAAGATACTGGGATTAGCTAAATTTTTCCTTGGAGTTGGGATCCCTGGTGATGCGAAAGATTTTTTCAACCAAGTAGACTCCTTGGCTTGCTTGGAGAACAATAGGCAAGTGCTTTCATGGAATGATTTTCTGTGTTTGTTTGATTGATGGGGAAGTTTCTCTCCTTTAGAGATTGCTTTAAAGTTATGATGATTAGGATGGAACATGCCTGTTCCCTTATCTCGGATTCTACCCCCTGATGATCTAACATACTTGTTCCCTTATCTCAGATTCTAACCCGGTGCCCATTTTCAAGCATGCAGTATTTTTTTTATAGTGACCACCATAATTAGACGTGTTATATTTTGTCACGAAATGCTCTTCCCTTCTAGTGGTGCTTGGAAAAACCCTTAAGCTGGAAATAATGGGTGTTTATTCTTCCTGTGATGGACTTCCTAAATAAAAAAAAAAAAATACTTAGTCCATATGGCAATGTTCCTAAACTGTGATGCTAAGGTTTTGCTTGTGCTGGCAGGGTTGCTATCCCGCTAATTCTATCACTTCCAGCCACTGTGAATTCATTGACGAGGAAAGACACACTCAAGGTACATTACACACACTATATCAAGTATGTAATATATGCGAACTTCCTTGGTTGTTCCATGAAAAAGATGTGCATAGATAAGCAACTATATATGTTTTATTTAATACTCTTCAGTCTTCTCTAAATAAGATCGAGGTATCAAAATAATGATATTTTCTCTTTCTGGAGCTTTTTGAACTCATGTAGTAATAAAGCGGCTGTTTGTAATCTGTTCCATGGATGTATGATGTATCAGGTTAAGGTCAGTACTGTACTTGGTTCTGATGCACCTCCTCTGAAGATAAAGCTTGTAAGAGCTAAAGATACTCCTGCAATTGAAAGCCAGGTGCTGCCCTGAATCAACCTTATTTCCTTCAATAACTCCTGGGCTCAAAATCTAGCTTAACTATATAGGTTGTTCACTTCAATTATTATCTGACAAGGGTTGATCATAATTCCTTGAATCTCCTTGGTGTGCTTTTTCGGAAGGATTAACTGATGAAGTTTTTATTTTATAGGAGCTCAAGTTTGATTCCGCGAACAAGGTGCATGTGTTGGACACTTTGGAAAAAAGTGTTGATGTGGGCAATTACATTTTTGTTTTCGAGGTATCCATATGCTTTCTTGGCGCATCAATGTTCTTTATCTGTTCCTTCATTCATTGACTAACACAAGTATTCTTTTTTGTAGATTGTGTTTAATGATCCGGAGCATAAGAAGGCTTATGCTGTGGAAAGTAAAACTGAGGTTCCAATTTTCTTAACTGGAGCTGTTAAAGTTGGAAATGCAAAGATTGCAGTTCTTGATAGTGATCTTGGGAGCATTGAAACGCAGAAGTATGTTTCCTCTTACCATGAATACCTAGGTTCAGTCTTCCTATCGTAAAGTATAGCAACTTTCTCAGTGGCAGTAGCTGTCATGATGGAGCCAGAACAGCATGGCTTGTGACATTGACTTCTGAATTTCTGTAGTATTTAAAACTACTAGCAACAATTCTGTCAACTATTTAATTTGAATTTCTGAAATTTCCAGTCTGGATTTTGCTGGAGAGAATCTTGTGTCGTTGGGAGCTAATCATCTCCAGAAGTTGAAGCTGCGTTTTCAATTGACTACCCCCCTTGGCCATCCTTTCAAGCCACATCAGGTTTGTGACTAATCTGTTGTCTAGTTTGGTTGTAATTTTGTAAGATTTCTTCCCAAGTTTTATTGGTTTTCAGGCAATTTTGAAGCTGACTCACGAGAGCAAGGTGGAACATGTCTTTGTGGTTGGAAACACTGGCAAGCAGTTTGAGATAGTTCTGGTTAGATTCCTTAGTTCACGTTCTCTTTGTTTAATTTTCTGTTACCACTCGCTTCTTGTGTTTGGTTTGCGATTTCTCTTCAATAATTTTTCGAACACAAACTTACCTAGCTGGGGAACTGATTAGTAAAATAGTTTGGTGGTGATAAAATGGAAGCTACAGGATATGAGACAGCCAACTCATTTGCTATGGAGAACTTTCGAACTGGAACTTAAAGATTGATGGGTAACAATTTAATCACATGTTTAATTAGCTTCAGAACCTGAGATGACCACCAGGGGCAGAAATGAACAAGCTCTTTATGTCGAACTATATGGAATTTTTTCAGCATCTTCAATAGCTATGGATGACTGGCTATGCCAAGTTTTCATTGTAAACAGATATAGACGAGTTGTGCTACTGAAGTATGATTTGGGTAATGATTTCTTGTGGAGACGGGTGATAAGTAGATAATCTGAGTACCCATTATCCTGTGCCATTTATTTACCTATTTGTTTTTATTGTAGGATTTCCTTGGACTCGTGGAGAAATTTTACTATCTATCTGGTAAATATGAAATTCAGCTCACTGTTGGAGATGCTGTCATGGTAAGCTTCCATTTTTCTTTTGGCTTTTTGCTTTTATTCATAAGAAAAGGACAACCTACGCTTTGTTTTTACTATTTGTTTACGTTGCAGTGAGTTGACTTCCCCTACTTCACCTTGTAAGCATAACATACTCGTTTTCATTGCCTTATCAGGAGAACTCCTTCTTTAGAGTTATTGGACATCTTGACCTTGATCTACCGGAAGCACCTGAGAAGGCACCCCGACCTCCTGTGCAGCCTGCTGATGTATACTCAAGATATGGACCTAAAGCTGAGATAGCCCATATATTTAGAGCTCCAGAAAAGCGTCCTCCTCAAGAGCTCTCTTTGGCTTTCTTAGGACTCACAGTTTTGCCTCTCTTGGGGTTCATAATTGGGGTGAGTTCTGAATTTATTACAGTTGGCAATACTCATGAGAATTTTCATTTCACCGTGGACTTAGGAAGGACAATAATAAATGATATTACAAAGCAAGTATTTAGCTTTGAAAACAGAGAACGAAGTGAAGGTTAGGAAATAATTGATGTTTTCTCTAGATTGGTAGGTTTTAGGCATAGAATTGAACTTTTGGTTTATCCCTCGACTTGAAGAGCAAGCCACAACAATGCGGAGATATCTAGGTTGTGGGAAGTTGATATGGATATGTGGCATAGCATCCATGCATGCACATCTTCAACTTCACTGTGGTTCTGGTTGATCATTTCCCTTTAAGATGATGTCCGGTTAGCCAGGTGCCAGATGGTACTTTTACAAGGGATCCTGATCAACTTGACTATTCTCTTTTGCAGCTTTTACGTTTGGGAGTAAACCTGAAGAATTTCCCTTCTGCGGCGGCACCTGCCGCATTTGCTGCACTTTTCCATGTGGGCATCGGAGCTGTTCTGTTGCTCTATGTTTTCTTCTGGTTGAAGGTTAGCTTTCAGATTCCATCCTTTCATTTTTGTTTGCTGCCTGATACTCCGCCAAATGAGCTCATCTAATTTGATCTGATTTTGCTCTTCTTCCTGGTGCACAGTTGGATCTGTTCACGACGCTGAAAATACTTGGGTTCTTGGGAGTGTTCCTGCTGTTTGTCGGACACAGAACTCTTTCCCACCTAGCGTCGACATCATCCAAGGTGAAATCTGCATGAGTCCTGGTAGAAAGGAGGTTAGATTGTTCTGAAATCTTACAATCCAGGACATAGTTTGAGTAAGGTGTATGTTTGAGAGTACGTTATTAGGGGACACATTTACTGGAAAATTTTGTAGCGTCGACTCCTCTATACTTTGAGAATTACAATACTTATAGAAGCTTCACCCAAGCAACGTTTATTTATCAATTGGTGGTGGAATTCTCTCATCTCTGAGCTTTGTAACAGCCCTCAAGCAACTGCGTGGGCATATAATCTAGTCGATCAACGAAGCAGTAGTTCTTCTCTTGACGTTCATTTACGAAAAGCCGAGACAAATCAACCATTTTGCTTTAGCTTGAAGAATCACACTTTAAATGGAGAAAGGTATATTTGTGTGATCTGAGTCTGAATTTTGGTTAAGGAGCCCCTCGTATAGTTTCTTGGTAAGACCACGAGGAAGTTCCTCAATTCGCAATTGTGTGGTTGCGTACTTATTGCTGATTAGTGTAAGATGCGGAACCTGGTTGGCACCTTAGTGTACACAGGAAATCGAATTGGGGGTGCAAATGAATTATCTAGTCAATCACGGTTTATATTGGGGGTGGAAATGAATTATCTAGTCAAAATAACGGTTTATAGCTTAAAAAATTATGCTTTTATACTTTTTGGTCATCAAAACAATTTTTTTTTCCTTACAAGTGTAGTCAAAATCTATGCTTTAAAATTTAAAAACTTACGTTTTTTATACTTTTAGTTCACCTGAACGGTTCTAAGTAAAATTACGATTTTAACTACAATGCCATTTATCGTTTAGTGAATGACATTTTCGTTGATTTTGATGCTCAACGAAGGTTTGTTTCTGTAAACAAAAACACATGTAACGGTTGTATAACGGAAAAAAAAGGAAAGGACAAGATTGATAAATTGCAACTTGTTGAGGGGTGTATTTGGTAAAAATAAAGTTCCAGGAGACTTTCGACTTTCGTAGAGAGGCCCAAAAGCAAACTGAATCGCTATTCGTCGCCCTATAATTCAAATTTTATCGCCCTAAAATGCAACAAATTAACATATTTACCTCTCAATCCAATTTTAATTCTAAACCTTAACCAAACAATTCCTAGTCAGTTCCTCACCCCCAAACCAAATCCGCAGCCGCTCAAATCGAAGAAGGCGGCGTCGCCTGCTCCTGCTCTGCTCCGCAGCCTCTGCAAGCCTGGCTGTCTACCGTGCTGTTTATTCATCTCTAATCCCAAAAGCTGCATAGAATTTGCAGCATTTTCAGTCAAAACACAATTCTTCCAAGGAATTCTTCTGCTCTGTAATTTTCCATGCCTTTCTGGAACAACCCTTCTTCAAAGTTCATTTATTGATTTATAGCCTGTAATCTCATTATCTGCTTCACATGAACAATTATTATACAGAGCAATAACAATACTACTTAGCCTACGTTTCAGATTTCTCTCCTTTGCATAACATTACTACTTAGACTACAACGAAGAAGACGAAAATTCTCGTTACGACATTGACGGCAAGAACCCTACTTCATTTATATATTAATCTCTCTTCCACCTTTTGGCCTTATCCATTGAAACTCAAACGATCATCACACAAATGGCCTCCCCTGCTCCGACGTCCCCTGACCTGTCCTATAGCTCGTCGGTGACGTACTGACGGGTTTTCAACCCGTCCGGCACTGTGGGAAGACGGGCAGCCTGTGGAGAAATGGGGGGTGTTCCGCTGCGGCTGCAATAATAAGTTTGTTTTTTTATTTCCGGTAAATTAAGAGTTTGTTTTGGGTTTGAGAGTTTAAATTAAAAAAAATAATTAAGGGTATTCGAGTAAAATTAACTTAATTAGGGCGACGAATAACGATTTTTAGGGCGACCAATAGCAATCCCCAAAGCAAATTAACCCGTTTGCGTAATTGCGTTCAGTTTCTGCAGAGGAGTATTTCTTGATTTGGTCATTCATTTCCCGATTTCCCACGTTGTTCCAACCTCCAAACGTTCAAATTTGCGGCTCCTCAGATACGCAGACCGATGGGAGATAAGTCGGAGTCGTCCGGAAGTAGAAAGCGTCGCCGAGATGAAGCGGACGAAGAAGAAGAGAAGACCGAGGCTGCTGGCGACGCCGATGAAGCTCCGTCACTCGGTAAGTGCCGTTTGAGTTCGTATTTCATTTCCCCTGTGTTTGTATCGGAAGCACTGATGTTTCCTCTGAATCCTGTGGTTCTGTTACTCTTTCTGGGCCAAGCAAAGAAGACAGCCTTATGTTTAGCGATACGTTGGTCGCGCTTCGTATCATGCGAGCTCAGTTCCCTCGCATTGACAAGGTCCGCTCTCGGAGCTGGCTCTGATCGAATTGTGGCGCTTATTATCGCGGTGAACCCTGCTAACGAGTATACATGTTTTGGATTTCGCAATTTCTAGGTTGCGATTGAGCCTTTCGTTTTGCGCTCGCAATTATACAGTAGCGTAAAGGATAGAACGCAAGTAGACAGAGAACTAGAGGTACGGTTCCCACTTTCTGTGATGCTCCACATCTTATTGAACTTAGAATAGCAGTCATGATGCTTGTAAAAGTAACGTACGAAACGAATTTCGAGAAGTTGCACTGTCCATTATCATGCTTAAATTAATTCTTGCTCAATGTGACAACTTATGGCTAGTGATTGCCTCTTGATGATGAGCTTTATCTATCATAGTATGAGGAGGCATCGATGTAGATAACTGTTACGGGATAGACACATTTCACACAAATGCACAAATGCAACTACGCTAGCTGTTGCTCTGTTTGGTATCTCACGATTGATTGTCAACTAGTTCTTGTATTCACCTTTTGTCTCTGCAGACTTTTTTTTTTTGATGAAATTGTCTTTGCAGACTTTGAAGAGGGAAAACATGTTGAGAATTTTTAAACTCAACACTGGGCAAGATGATCATGCTATTATGTTTTTGGAAGACTATCTAAATCAGGTTTTTCTTTTTTCCCTTTTCTTTTTGCATCCTATGTTGAAGGAGTTCGAATTATGTGACATCTGTTTGGTATAAGCCTTTCGTTTCATTGTCATTGACGGTTGCTGAAACTATGTTCCTTTCTTGATGTGGGTTTTGTGGTTATGTTCTCGAGTTTATCCAATTTCAGGGTGATTGGTTTGCATTGTATGATAAACATCATGACAGAGGATTATAGAACCAGAACAATGAATGACAGCATGTATCTTTTAATCGCTCCATGCAGATAGAACGTGTTACAAAAAGGCTAGAAGAAAACAAGAAAAGTGACACTGAAGTTCTTGAGTGGTTTAAGAAATATGTTATTGATTGCAAGTTGGAACCTAGTATTGACCATCAAGAGCTTGTGAGTACTCTCAACATTACTAAAGCCTGTTTTTGTACTTTATAACTATTAATTAACTGAAGCTCCACTTGTTCAGTAGACCACAATTGTCATACATGACTGACAAATTGACATTTAATGAAAGCAACAAAATTACTTCTTGATATATTGAGCAGCCATATCATGTAACTACTAAATAGCACATGTTATTTGTAACCGTTATTTCGTACTTGCCTTAAAAAACACATGGGTTTTGACGTTCTTACTGGATAATCCATGGATAAACTATTCATATCCAACCATTTGAATGGTTCTATTGTGTTTTTCGAGCAGCCATTGTTGCACATAAATATATGTAATAAGTAGTAGTTAGTACCGCTTGCACTATTATATGTGTCATTTACAGCTGACTTGATAGCTCAGGAAATATGAACGAATTGATGCTTAATGATCGCAAGATCAACATGGAAAGGCGAATTCCAAACTACTGTTCTGCTTGAAGTTCACAAAGGGAACATATTATGTTCCTGCCTAGTGGCGCTGTAAGAGATTTACTCAATACATCCGCAGCTCACTGTTTCCTGTTCTCGTGCATGTCTTGGCATTTAGCACTAAAGAAAAAGATGAACCTGTCAGCCAAATGCAACAACATTTTTGTCTTCAGTCCAATCTATAGAAATTTGGTTTGTCTAGTAGCATTTGGTATGCTTAGCATAAGGGATCGTTTCACTGTTTTGCTCCTTCCATTGCAGTGCTTACTCCTATCTAATGGTGGAAAGGTGAAGGATGAACACATTTCACTTCTAATCAACGGTGGACTTCTGGTAAGATGTATGGCTGTACCATTAATACCAATTTATCTGTATATTGTTGCACGTATCCTCTTTGTGTCATATGCTTATTCTCTATTACAAATAGGATGTTAAGGATACTTTGCCCTTTATCCCTTCCTTTCTATCCCTCTGTGCTCCCCATTAATCTGCTGGACCAAGTCATTGATTTGCATGTGGGTTATTTCACCTGGTGTTAGGAAGTGTGTCTTCTAGATGGAATTAAAACTTCTGATTCTTCTCATCCAGAAAATTTCACTGCTAAGGATAATGCATGTGGAATGTTCTATTCTAACGGAGTTTGGATTTCTAGGGTTTTCATGGTACATTCCTCTGAAGTTCATTTCCTTATTGACAGTTTGAAACCAGTCACCAGTATTGTCAAAGGAGTGGTATCAGCTGACAGCTTCTCCTAGTATGTGGTGCACAATAAACTTTGTTTTTTAATTGGACTGTCAATTAATGGGTGTGATATGAGCAATTTTCTGTGAGTGATGTGCTTGGTCATGAACTTGGCTGTGTTACTTGAGTTGGAACTCGGGTTCTTACCAAGTGCTTGATGATATCTAGATGCTGTTGCTGAGTGGGATGTGCATGTGCTTTGTTGTCCACTTGACCACTTCCATATGACAGAATTTGATGGGTATTCGGATTGTAGGAATAGTATCTTTGCCAAGCTGAATTATTATTATCCAACTAAAATTGAACTGAAGGTTTATGTTCTAAATATTTTGGTGAATCTGGTGATAGTAATAGATAATGGCTTCTGAATGTTTGCTTATGTTTGTGTGTTTTGTGCGTATCGGAGCCCTTGAGCGGTATTTTTCGTTGAAGTTTGACAGTAGAAATGCACTACATATTCTTCCATGGAAACAAAGAGGAAAAGACAGGGAAAGAATGGTTCCTGTAATGCTTGCTTATTTTTCTGTGTGAAATATAAACAGTGATGTTTGTTTTGCAGACTCGCCAACTGATTGACCCAAACATGTATTGGTTTGCAATTCCAAATATTGGTTCAATACTGAAGGGACTTTCTCAGGTAAAGTACTATTTATTAGTTCATTTCCTGAAGTTAGTCATTGGCAGAAGTTGCTGTACTCCTTTGTTCTCAACTGTTTTATTCAGGGAAGGAAGGAGCTGCTATCTCTTCTAAAACGTAGGAGATATAAGGAGATGATGTTAGCCCCTTTGGAAAAGAAGCGTCTTCGATTTTCCCCACTCGACATTCGATTTCACCTCCGAGATTTGATTGGCTCAGGGCACCTCAAAACTCTTTGCACGCCAACTGGCTTGGTAGTACGGGTTTCAAAAGATTAAACTCCGTGCTTATGTTCGTGGAACATGATGTTTCGACATTGGATTTGTCTTTCTTGGTCATCACTCCCAAGGGTATGTTTGCAGCTAAGCTGGATTACAATATCTTAGTGCTTCAATTCTGCGATCAACCATTGATGACATTTGTTAGAAACGACCCAGGTTACAAGAAGCAACTTAAGTTAATGTGGGACGATTTGAGTCTCCTCTCTTCCAGGGTCTTTAAGTTATATGTTTTCCTCTTAATTTGTTAATTTGATCTCTTGTGTTTCATCCATTCCTTGTTTGTACTAGTCAAATAAGTCCCTATACAATGATACTGGACTAAATCACTTTCATCTCTGCACTCTTTCTGCTAACTGTCTCTGGTGTCTTATTAATTATTATGCATGGTGTTATCAAACATTATTCAATGTACAAGTTCTGGATTTATTCCATGTTGTCATCTTGGTAAGAAGCCTGAGTATCAGCTAAAAGATTAAGATATGGTCTCTACCAGAATTCGAAAGAAGTGTTGTGCAACGATCTTGGTGGTGAGATGAGTCGTCCTTAGGATGCATCCCCTGCTGTAGCCCTCAGTTACTTGCAACCATTTCTAGTTATGCTGAACTTTGATATGGGAACCAACCCTTTCTTATGGAGCACTTGGTCTTGTGTTGCAAGGGAACAGATATGAGAGCTTGTAGTTGCTATTGATAATACTTAACTGGTTCTTACATTTCATAATCCTCTTCTTTTTTCCCCCCTTACCTGCAACTCTTGTCCTCAGAGTTGCTTTATAGTATGCTCGCTGTAAGTGCCTCCAGTGACAGGAACAGGAAGCCGCCTATGGTAAGACTGCTCATTGGAGAGGCAGGAACTGTAACTGTAAGTGCCTCCAGTGTGACTGTAATTGTAACTGCACCTACATCTCCCTCTTCTCTCTGTGAGACACATTACATATAGGTGGAGGCTATGAATTTGCACTGAACAATCTTTTAGGTGGAGCCATCCTTACTAAGTTACGATCAAAGAAAGACACCATTGCAGAGGCACGAACTGATCTCTCTCTTGGTAAATCTTACCTTTGATGTTAACTATCCAATGTCAAATACTTGTCAGCTTTTGTCTAGTTACATTAGATTCTTTGTACGGTGGGTGTGAGACAATTTTCATTTCAGTAGACTTTTTTCTTTGTGCTATTTTGGTTGCTTCTCTAAGAACTTGTTTTAAGACCCCCCAAAAATGAATATGTTCGATTTATGATTGGAAATTTTATTTCCGTGACAAATAATTAATTTTAAATTTCTGTCTAGTTACCTTAGATTCTTCATGTTCTTTTTTTCTTCAAGATGTTGATTGATAACTCACCCTGTTTGTTGGCAAAAGCTGGGCCAAAGTGGGGGCTATGAATTTTCTCTCATCTTTGTAGTTATGTAGCTAGATTCATTTCATCTGATACGATATGAATTTACACCCAGGAACCCTGACCACAGATGCAGTGAAGAATTTTACTGTCCTCGAATTATTGCTGGGATGCCTAACTATCTTTACATGCATACATGCATGATGGATGTGTACCAAAGAGGGGATTGTTGCTCTTTTTTTGCCATTTCCTTTTGGATTTTACTGCAGGGCCAGACCAGTGAGATCTATGGCTACCAGATGGGACAGAGGTCGGTCCCTCGATTCCCCCATATGCATGCTTCGATATGAAGAGAAAAGGCGATGGGGCATCCAGCCACAATTAGGTAATGCCCTTTTGAAATTTAATGCTCCAAGACAAATAATTGAGGAAGAAACAAACAGGTATATATGTATGTGACCGTCGGTTCTTTCCTCACATGGTATCTGCCTCTGCGGTTTTGGACAGTGCATAATAATATGTTGACAGGAATGAATCGCCCCACTCACTACAAGAACAGAAAATGCCAGCCGCTGTGCCATTTGCTCCTTGCATTAATTGTTGCAGGCTTTTTGTGGGTAAGGTCCTGCTGCTACTGCGTACTCTCCTGGCGCCATTCCATTTTTAGCATTGCCAGATCCTGAGATCCCGACCTTTTTATCATTCCATGCCCACTCGGATTTGTTACTTTCCTCCAATTCCAGAGTCTTTAAGTCTTAACTCATGACCATATCTAGGAAAAGGGATTTGGGATCAACTTGCTTGACTGATTGTACGTACTTGTGAAGATGTGTCCTAGCTTCCGTGATTGTGTTTACGCTCAGAATTAACTCAGTAACACATTAACTAGCTAGTTACAGGGAGTTTAATGGCTTTGTATGACTAACTGAGCATAGACAATTGAATTATTTAAGTTGGAGCTTAAAGAGTTGGATTTTCGGGTTTGGTGGATAGTTTGGCTAGGGATTTGCACCTAGAAATAATCGACGACGCCTCAGCCGACAAGGTGGTTAAGATACCAAGTATAGAGCCTCGGATGTGGAGGCTTGTTAGGCATTGTCCCAAGACGTTGAAACTTGTTTGGTATCAATCTCTTTGAAGGTTAAGTATGGAGCCTTGGCAGTGTGGTTTTGTTAGGCATGGCACCGAGTCGACAAGATAGGCTTTGTGTTGGTATAATTGAGGTGGTTGATAAGGCGAAAATAGTAAGCAGGCACAGAATGGAACCACAAGGGCAGTCATATTTGCCAAGGAAGCCCTCGGTGATAAAAGGGTATTGGTGTTTGTGAAGTTTTCGGTGAAAATCGGTACGGTATCAGTATTCTTATATCAAATACCAAATTATACTCTAAAATCAATTTCAATTCCTAAATAATTTTGATATCTCAATATCCATCTCTAAATATTCCGGTATCCCAATCGGTATTATTGAATACGAAATTAGTTAACTTTTTTTAATAATTAAATTTAAAATGAGACTAAGCAAAAAGTTGGAGTTTGCCCAGAGCTAGGACATGGATAAGGGGAAAGGAGGAGAGGTGACATATCAAGTTCTTGTAATTGATTATCTTTAATTCGACGAATTAGAGGCTGAGAGATTAGGTGAGTGTAGGGCTTCAATTCTTCAAATGAGCCGAGTCGAGTCGAGTTTTGCTAAGATCGAGCTCGACTTGTTTCTTAATGAGCCAAGCTGGGTTGAGTTTTGCCGAAGCTTGGCTCATTAAGAAACAAGCCGAGCTCAAGCTTGGCTCATTGCGGATCTCATGAGCTCTACTCAAATTCGGCTCATCAATAAGCTCACAATGCAGCTCATTTTTAAGTCTAAATGGTTGAATTGAACCCTTAAATGGAAGTCTAAAATAATTTATAACTTGACTACTATAATATTTGCATGTCATATATGATACATGTGGTTAATAAAAAGAATAATAGTCAGTTTTCATCACTAATTCATCTCATATTTATACACTATGTTGGTATAATATAAAATAGTTCATAATTTTTAACTAATTCATATTATGTTATTTAATAATCGTTAGTAACTGAGCATTCTATAATACATAATTTCTCTTTCGAATTATAAATGTAACATCTTTAGTCACATACTAAAAGTCTTAAACCATAATATATTATGGATATATAATCTAAAAAACACATGAATGATTAAGAAGCCATATAATAAATTATATATATTGATTCACTAATAAGTCGCTAGTCGAATTGGCTCACTAACCATATATACTATTGAGCAAGCTCATTGGTTGAAGTCAACGAGCCACTTAATCGAGCTAGGTTGCGAGCCTCATGAGCCTAACAAGGATGAGCTCAGGCTTGACTTGTTTACGAACGAGCTTTTTTCGAGTCGATGGTCGAGCTGCTCATGAGCAGCTTGGCTCATTTGAAGCCCTAGGTGAGAGACGAGAGTGACTTAAACTAGAAAACCAAAAACTTGTAAGTTATGAAATAGTGAGGAATGTCCAAAGATTGTATGCTTGTGAGGTAGAGCCACTGGATCTCGACTACGCCATAACTCAAGTGGGAGAAGAGTAAGGACAACATTGTTTCCTGAATTCGGCGACCTGACCTTGAATTTGGTCGACCGCCTTGAACCCGAACAGGAAGAACAATAATAGTCTTCTAATTCATCAAAACTCTAACCCTAGAAGAAACCAAATCCACGGTGAAGGTGTCTTTTATATACAGATATTTAGGACGGTATTAGGGAGAATTAAGTGGTAGACAAGTTAGGGTTACCTTTTTAGTGTTGAAATTCTTATCCAATACGGATACAGTGTGTAAGCAGTTGACCACGTACTTGATAGGTCGACCTTTTCTACTCTTTGCGCAAATAATTTCGAGTTTGTTGTTGATAAGTTAATGCAATACAAGTCGACCTTTTAAAAAATGAGGTCGACCTTATAATGCACATGGTCGGTCGTTTTAAGAATGAGGTCGACCTTTTATATTGTTCGCTTGCCAAAGAGGTCGACCATTTGATGTACAAGGTCAACCGCTTTGTTGAACATCACAAAACGAAAACAATAGGTTCGGTCGACCATTCTTACCTTCCGGTCGACCAAATTGTGCAAGTTACAGTGATTTGCTAAGTCTTAAAATTGGATGTAGATTATAAAATAATCCTGTATTTGGATGTAGAGTGTAAAATATCATGTGAACATTACCCGCTACAAAATGGGAGCCAATTTAACACGACCCAATTTTTAGTACAATCCTATTTTTAGTAAGGAATAGTGATTTTAATATATAATTATAATTAAACAAAAGTGTCCAAATGTTATTACACAAAAAATCATTTTTTTCTAGATACTTGTGATGTATCTAAAATGTAAATACAATTATTTTTGTGCATGCAATTCCAGTAACTTGTGAGTATGAAGTATTTTGAAACTCAATTTATAGAAGAGGGTCATACATATTCTTGTTCACTTTTCTACCACTTTTGCAGACACTAAATCCAATAAATTTATTTTCAAATACATATCACAGAATAACATGATTCAATTAAAATAAATAACATTAACTAGATTTGGCCTTGACTCGTCGGTTGATGCATTTTGTTTTGGTATAAACTATAATAGCAATTGTACAAGCAAGCTACATTTTTATTTGGTAACAAAATTGAATCCAAATTATTTTCATTATAAAAATAATGAAAAGGAACATATACATCATATAGTATTCCAACATCATATAGTATTCCAACATCCTGACCACTTCATCGATGAAGGTCCTTACTAGAAGTAACAAATGATATATACAGAAATGATTCGACTTCTTAAAAACTCAATAAAACCACAGTTCAATTCGTTATGTGCACAATTACTGCAAAATTTCTTTTGGATTGCTCTTTCATTAGCAACACATCAACTCTACCAAAAAAAATATATCTTCATCTCCATGAATGAAAAAACAATTGAGCTGTACTCTCGGAGCACTCCCTCAACCAGATTCTTTAATGTGTTTGACAATATGGAGAATCCGAAAGCCGCGTAATAAGGTGATTTTTAGCACACTCAGTCACATGCCCGTATTCTGGCCAACAGTTGTAGTTCTCTATTGCTCACATAATTATTTTTGAAATATTTGAAAATTATAAATTGTTCTTAAAGAAGATTAAATGAACCTCCATGCTAATTAGTAACTTTTTTTTAACACACCAGTGGCTACTTGTTAGATTGAAATTGCACATAATACCAAATAGATCAGATAACTCTTTATTACTTATTTATGTGGGGGGACAACCAGTCAAATTTGGGGTCGAGGGGACTGGTGGGGAAGATGAAGAATAGACAAGTCTTACATATACAACCTTGTCTGCAGGTTTTAGGTAGTTAGGAAAGAATTCCCTTTGTTGGTGGGTGTGAAAATGAAGTTCAGATTTTTATATAAATAAATGTGAAAAAGAGAAGTTGGGAAACCATGAATGGAATTTCCCAATTCTTCATATTCAATGATATCACAGGCACTGATTGGTAGATTACTTGGCGACATAATATCTTCCAATTTGGTTAAAGGATAATTATCAGATGGGTTATTGTGAATTTGTGATGTGTGCATTGAATCGGTTTTAGACTCCTGAATGAGATCAAAGTGGATGTTAGTAATGATGAAGTCCTCTTAATTTGATTCTTCCTATGGATAAAACCCAAATGAGCAAGAAACATAATGAGGTCTTGTTTTCAGCAGTTAGTCATCAACTAATTAACTCTAGTAGAGCTTGGAAGGAACCTGATCACTTTATGGACATTTGGCCAAACTGAGGCTTTTCTCTATGTTCGATATGTAGGAAATTGTGGGACATATATATGTGGTGAAAGATGAAAGGAATCTCCCTAAAGATAGACATCAAAACTTTATATAATGTTAATGTAAGTGTGATAAGCATCAAAGAAAGAATATGCCACTGAGGGGACGACATGACTTGCATGTGTGACTCTTCTAGCTCCTTTATAAAATAGAAGTACATACACAAACACAAGCAAGCATTGTCGCATTAGATAGTGATATAAGATCTATACTTAATCTTCTCTACACAATTCAAGTTTTTGGAACCAAACGGTTTATGATATGATATCGGAGTTGATTTGACTAAATGGTCACATGTTTGAATCTTCACGACTCCCAATATTAACTGTTGATTTAAGCACAACGCAGAATGTACATGTGCAGACCTGAAAACCCGTGAGTTGATTGTCGTTTAAAAAGGTTTACGTAATAATATATATAATCTATAATTAATCTTATAACCACTCGAGTTGTTGTGACAAAAGAACTGTCGAACAGAAGTCCTAAAAGTACATCAATGCTGCTGCCCAGCTTCTCCTCGATCCGGGCCTTGCGTGTTTGTTTTGCATAATTTAAGAATTTTTTTTTTCCATTAAGCTTCCACAATCGATTCGTGAGCACAGACGATTTGATAAAGAGGATTTCCTTGATTCATTATTATGACGGTATAGAAGGGGATCCTCGGTGTCAAACAGACGAACACAGCTTACCATCACCATTAGTTATCGTGCATATTATTAATACATAATCCTGCAACGTTATCCATGTTAGTATGATTAATGGAGGCTAGCTAGCTCATAAGAGGGCCTTCAGAAAAAGAAATTCATGATCATTCGGTGGCATGATTAAGAGAGGACTCATCCCTTTGGTTGGGTGACATATAGGAAACTGACACCTCCCTCCTGTTTTAATAAACAGATTTATGGGTTTTAATTATAAAGTTAATGATCTCAATCTTTCTTAGTATTTAATTGCAAGATAAATCATACAAGGCAAAAAATTGTCTCTTGTCCATGCCCTAGCTAGACCAGGAATATATATAATTTGGATACCGAATCTCTTGATTCGGTTGATTAATATAAAAGTGCCTAATTGATAATAACCGTGTTGTGACA